GTACTTTGGGGCTAGGAATTCTTGGGTCTTTGCTTCAGTGCTTTACCACTAATGTGACTGGGCTGCTCTCCCCTCTGCATTTAGTCCTACCTCCCGCATACTCATGGGTTCTGCTTCCTGGTAACTTTGGCTCCCCTAATCCTCATGGCTACTTCCAAGTCTGTCATATCCTTTCAGCTCATCACCCACTTGTCCTGACATTTCTTAGTTTACATTCCTGAGGAAGGATGCCATCTCTTCAAGTCAGATCACATTTCAACCTGCTAGTCAGCCTGTGCGTAGCCCACCCGTGGCCCGTTCAACATGGCTACCCATGTCCTTGAGCACAGGGTTTTAAAGAGGGTATTTTTCCTTTGAAGAGGCTTTGGGTATTTATTTGACATATATTATCCATGTAGTCATTTATAAAATTTCTTACGCTTTTTATCCAGTAACCATTCAGGGCAATATCGAATGTGAATTGATAAGTACAGTATGAGGCTTAATCTGTTTTTGACTCCCAGGAACAAAGCTTTGCCTCTAGGATCACGGGAAAACAAGCACCACATTGTGTTCAAAAGAGCAGTATCCATGCCTTTTGCTCTAGTCTGGGGCGGGGTGGGCTTGCCCCTGGCCCTGCTTTACTTTCCTTCCCTTTGTGTAGGGTATTGAGTTGAGGATGCATATGTAACTCACTGGTATATGGAGATTTCTTGCTTCATGGGTCAAAAAACTACAAACAAGACTGGTCTCTCTCATACTTCCTTTCTCCCCCCACACCTTTACTTCATCAGGACTCTGCCCTTTCCTAATGGAGAGCACACAGGAGGGAATGGCTGCTGTGGCTCCGACTGCCAGATGCCAGGTGACGTAGACTTTACTGTTTTTGAAATACTTTGTCTCCATTATGTAACCCCTTTTTTTCTCTATCCTGGAGCTTTTTTCTTTTTCTTTTTTTTTATCAGATCCACTAGGTGGAGGAAGGATTCCATAGGGAATGCTTCCTTCCCATGTGACTTATGGTGACCTTCAGTGACCTTTTCTTGCTTTGAACACGTGCTCACTAGCCTGTCATCAGGCACACAGCCCCTGTGGCCTTCACACTTAGTGATTTTGCCTAAAAAATGATTGTATGGGTCTGATTGGAAGGTTTGGGGAACAGTGAGCTGGTTTAGTCCTGACTTCTCTTTGTATGGACTGAAAGCAGGCCCCAGACACTCCAAGGATGCTAGGTTAGGCTGGGGAATGAGAGTACCTCAGTGAGGTTGTTAGAGTCCTGAGAAGAGTTTGGTGGGCAGAGATGTGTGCTTGCCCCATTCGCACCCAAAGACAAAAGGTCTTGAATTCCACGCTCTGGCTTAAAACTTCTGCAGACACACTAGAGGCTCATCTGGGGTTTTAGGATGTGGGGTAAAGGTGCAATCTTACAGAATCACAGAACTTTGGAGTAAAATGAGAGGGATCCTAAAGATGACCTAATCAACATCATTGTTTTAAGGGTTTGGGGGGGGAAAAGACAATGGGTGGAATTTGAATAAAGTTGTAGATTAGATAATAGTAAAATGTCAATGCTATTTTCTTGATTTTTATAATTATACTGTGATTACACAAGAGAATATCTTTGTTTTTATAAAATATAACTAGAATATTAATGAGCAGAGGGGCACCATGTTTGTAAATTACTCTCAGGAAGTTCAGGAAGAGTACAGGAGAAGGTATATATACCAGAGAAATAGGAAGGTAAAGCAAATATGGAAGATGTTAACATTTGGGGAAGCTGGGTGAGGGGTCCATGGGAATTCTTTGTTCCTTTCTTGGAAGTTTTCTGTGAGTCTAAAAAAAGCCCCGTGATACTCAGAGGCTCAGCTGTAACTGTGGTGGGGTGGGGTTATGACCAAGGGGGATGATGCTACTTTCCCCAAGTGAATCAAAGCCCTGCTTTGTCAGAACCATTTTCCTTCCTCTCCCTTCACAACCTCCAGGGCTGTCATCTTTATGACAGTTTTGTCTGGTCCACAGGAAGAGAAGGGTTGTGAGTAAGGGAGAATGTGATTGTGCTTCCAGGAATCAGTGACATTCATGGATGTGGCCGTGATTTTTACGGATGAAGAGTGGAGGCATCTGGTCCCAATTCAGAGGGAGCTCTACAAGGAGGTGATGCTGGAAAATTATGAGAGCATTGTCTCACTAGGTAAGGACAGCTTCCCATAAGTAGCTGGACCCTGTGCTGTGTTAATGTGAGGTTGAGGGCTAATAAATTGATACCTCTCCTCCCACCTGAGTTCTGAACCACTGAGAGACAAGATAGACAAGTAAAAGGATGTGGCTCAGGTGTACAGTGACAGTGGGCTTCCTAATCCTGAACCCCAGCATTGGACAGACTTGCTCCCTGAGCCATAAGCAGGGACCACCACAGGCTCCCTCGCTCTATGGCAGCAGCCTGGCCCTGCAGCACAGAGGGCTGGAGGAGCAGAGCAGATGTATACCTGCTGCAGGGAGCTGGCTCTCCAGAGGGGTGAACAGAAGAAGCCAAATTATTTATGCCCAGCTCATCAGTTAGGTAACTTACTCAGCTTCATCCAGACAAGTAAGAGTGGGGTGAGGGGCCATCTTGTTGAGGGAAAAGTTCTCCTCAGAGAAGCACAGGAGGAGGGGAGAGGTGTTTCACTTTAAAAGGTGGTGTGGAGGTAGGAATACAATGTTGTGCCTCAGAATAGGTCACTAGAGTTGTGTTTGGTTTTGAATATTTGTCTTAATTGCAGTCTTAGATGCTCACAGAAGGAACTCTGCAATTACAGACTTGCATGACAAAGGGTAAATTAAGAATTACTGCTGATGTCAGGTATTCATGAGAAGAAAGATTGGGCTCCCGTAGGTGATGAAAACCTCTCAGGAGCTTCCAGAATAACAGGCTGAGAGAGGGCACAGATTCAGAACCAGGCTTACAACCAGCAGCAGGTGGCAGTAAAGGAGTCACATTGCAGGTTTCATACGAGGCAGTTCAAAAAAGCAAGTGTAACACTCCCTGGATTAGCTTAAACAGGCTAAATATGGGAAATAAAATAGTGCTCATGGAGCATTAAGGGAGACTAAGCCTTTGCCACAGGCTTTGGTGGGATGAAATACTGGGGAATATAGAATTCAGGTCAGAGACAGGAAGCCACAGAGAGGTGATGGATATGGCCTCTTTGTCAGCAGAGAATCAGGATACAACTAGATAGATGATCCTGGGGCCCAGTAAGAAAGTGCCTCTCTTTTCCAAGTTGGGGGTCCAATGCAAGGGAAGTTTAGACCTCAAGACTATTTCTAGGAGTGGAATCTATATAACCAAAAATGGGTAGGTTCACTTTTAGAAATTTGTCCCAAGGAAGTAATAGGATTAGCAGCACATAATATATTCATCATATTGTTTTTTAATAGAAAAACATTAAAAACAGTCTGACATATCTATCAACAGATTATATAAATTAGATTGTTTCATACAATATAATATCAGGTAGCCATTAAAGTGGTGAGGTAGATCTGTGCTTAACTGAAATAAAATAATTTTTAAATTTATTGTTATGTGAAAAAAATCAAGGTTGCAAATCAACACTATTTCATTATCCAGTTTTTATTTATTTATTTATTTAATTTATTTATTTTAAATATATCTTTATTGATTTCAGAGAGAGGAAAGGAGAGGGAGAGAGAGAGATAGAAACATCAATGATGAGAGAGTCATTGATCGAGCCCGCAACCCGGGCATGTGCCCTGACTGGGAATCGAACCCTGATTGCCTGGATCCCAGGTCGACGCTCAACCGCTGAGCCACGCCTGGCCGGACGTATTTCATTATCCAGTTTTTAACAGAGTATATCTGTAGGTATCTTTCAGTATTGAAATTAATAGAAAATTTAAAAAAGTAGAAAAGGTGATTTTTCTTTTGACTTATACATACCTCTAATTTTCCTACAGTGAACATGACCCACTTGTTTAAATAAAAGCTTAATACTAAAGGGTAAGCAAACAAAAAAAATGCACTTTCACTACACATTTTTACTCAAGATGATCTTTTTTTCATTCTTATCTTCCCTGAGCCAAGGACTGTTCCCACCCATCCTACCAGTGCTAAAGCCAGGAGCATCCCATTGACCTCTGGAGGAAGAATAAACACATTCATTCAAGGAGATTTTATCAACTTCTTGACCAAGTACTACTTGTTCCTTTTTAGAACCTCAGTGTTGACCTCCATCCAGATGTCCCTGCTCTTCAGCATTACTTTGTATTCCACATTCTTGGCACGCATGGTCTGCCTTTTGTGTTTTCTTTCTGAAAGTCCTAGAGGCCAGGGTTAAGCTTTGGAGTGGTTGTGTATTTTTGTCACGTACCTGGTTTGTTTCTTTCTCCATGAGCAGGACTTCCAGTTCCTCAACCTGATGTGATTTTCCAGTTGAAGAGAGAGGATAAGCCTTGGATAGTTGATCTTCATGAATCTGATGAGAGAGGATGGCCAGGGAAGATTTCTCTAGGTAACTACGTATGAGCAGGGTAGGGCAGAGTTTGTTTTGTTTTGTAGTTATTTGGGGGGTTGTGGGAGGGAGTATTGGCTATCACCTTTTTCTCAAATTCAAATAATCTGCTTTAATGCTATTCTCTATCACCTACCAGCTTTCATTTTTTTCTGTACCTAAAAAAATGAAAGTTGTGTTTTCTTTCTGAAAGTCCTAGAGGCCAGGATTAAGCTTTGGAGTGGTTGTGTATTTTTGTCACGTACCTGGTTTGTTTCTTTCTCCCATGAGCAGGACTTCCAGTTCCTCATTTTTTCTATACCTAAAATGAAACACAGCTTTCATTTTTTTCATCTTTTAAAAAAATTCTCACCTGAGGATATGTTTACTGATTTGAGAGAGGAAGGAGGCGGAGAGAGAAAGAAAGAGAAATATTGATGTGAGAAACACCTGTCAGTTGTCTCCCATACGTGCCTTGACCTTGCCCTGACCAGGGTTCGAACCCAAAATCTTGGTTATGTGCCCTGACTGGAAATCGAACCTGCAACCTTTTCAGTGCATAGGACAATGCTCTAACCAACTGAGCCACCCAGCTGGGGCTGGTATTATTCATCTTTATTCACCAAATGTTACCTTCAGATCTGTCATGTTTCCTCTTCAGTTTGATATTCCTATTTCTCACCATCCCTCCACTTTGCATACTCTCCTAATTATCCTGGCCATGCTCCCCATGGAAATTCTTTTCTCTTCTGAGATGTCCAACATCAGTTCTATTCCCGTGTTTCTTCTTTACTCCCAAGTGTTGGTCTTTATCTAAAGTGTATAGCTATTTTCAGGAGCAAGCAATGCAGTGACCATATTACTTCCCAGATTTATCTTAGTACCTCTTCTTTCTGCTGTAATATTTTCTATCCCAGGAAAGAAACTGCATCTCTGTTTTCTGTCCATTACAGACTGGGAGACTAATCCTGAGATTCAAGGTACTTCAGAAGAAGAAAAGTCAAAAGGATTGTCCAGGGAAAAACTTGGAAGACAAGATCCTCTGTGTCCTAAATTGGAAGTTCATGCACTGGAAGGTGGGTTGGAAACAGAGAAGGAAAGCCCTGCAGTGGAGACCTGCAAGAAATCCCTTTCCCAGGAGGAAAGCTTGCGGCAAGGGTCAACCCCTCCTAGGAAAATTCTCACTAAGGACAGAGACCAGGAATGCAGAGATTGTGGGAAGACATTTTTCGATCACTCATCCCTTATCCGCCATCAGAGGACTCATACGGGAGAGAAGCCCTATGACTGTCACGAGTGTGGAAAAGCTTTTTTCAACCGTTCATCTCTAACTGTACATCAACGAATTCACACTGGAGAGAAGCCCTTTAAATGTCGTGAGTGTGGGAAAGCTTTCAGTCACAGGTGCAGTCTCAGCAGACATTTGATGTCTCACACTGGGGAGAGCCCCTATGAATGCAGCGCATGTGGGAAAGCCTTTTTCGACCGTTCATCCCTAACTGTACATCAGCGAATTCACACTGGAGAGAAGCCATTTAAATGCAGCGAATGTGGGAAAGCCTTCTTTGACCGTTCATCCCTCACTCGACATCAGAGAATTCATACTGGAGAAAGTCCTTATGAATGCAATCAGTGTGGGAAAGCCTTCAGTCAGAAAAGCATTCTTACTCGACACCAGCTCATCCATACTGGCCGGAAGCCTTATGAATGTACTGAGTGTGGGAAAGCCTTCTATGGTGTCTCATCTCTAAATAGACATCAAAAAGCCCATGCTGGAGAGCCTCGCTACCAGTGTGGTGAGTGTGGGAAAGCATTCTTTGACCGGTCATCCCTTACGCAGCATCAGAAGATTCACACTGGAGACAAGCCCTATGAATGCAGTGAATGTGGGAAAGCCTTTAGCCAGAGAAGCAGGCTTACGCGACATCAGAGAGTTCATACAGGAGAGAAACCCTTTGAATGCAGCGTATGTGGGAAAGTGTTTAGTTCTAAATCATCAGTTATTCAACATCAACGGCGGTATGCCAAACAGGGAATAGACTGAATGGAGTGAAAGCTTTATTCGAAGGACCTCCATGAAAACTTAAAATAGGTCTTCCCCATCTTAAATCCATCAATTAATCATTCTACCTATTCTGGCTACTGCTCTTCTTTCCTGCCTCTGCTACCTCTGCTGGAAATTAGGGTGCAACTGTAAAGAGTCAACATTTTGCAGAAGTTTCTCAGATGACAGAATAAGTGTTAGGAGGTGATCCTTAGACACAGCTCTTATCTGAGGCCCCTGGTATCACTGCACTTTAACTGGAGGATGCAAGAGGAGGGAAAAGGCAAAATTATATCAGAGCAGGACTGTTGTTTCCCAGATAGTTCTTTTTATAACTGTATTTCCTCTCTCGGAGCTTTTTTGGGCACTGACATTTTTTGTGTGTCCCAGCTTTTAGATCTCTTTAGTACTGCTACTACTAATAGCTAGCAATTATTGAGCACTTATTATGGGGTAAGCACTCAGCTACGAGTTTTGCAAGATTATTTGATCCTCTCAACAACCCTATTAAGTATGTACTCTTACTACCTGAATTTTACATGTGAGCAAACTGGAGTTTAGAGGGGTTAAATAAGTCGCCCAAGGTGACAGCTAGTAAAAGGTGAGGCCAGGTCTTGAATACAGGTCTACTTTCAAAATCTATCCCTTTTACCATTATGCTATAAAGTTGGTTTTATAATTTATGTATATCTATTATCTACTTAACTAACTTGTAAGCACTTTGTAGCTCACATAGTGCCTTGCAAATAATAGGTGCCCAATAAATATTTATCTGAACTAATGACTTCTTACCTAGTTCTATTTAAAACACCTCTTAGAATCACATCCTTTCTTTGAATTCTCACAATCTAGCCTATACCTTTATCATTAAAGGATTGTATTACTGCTATAATCACTTTCTGATTCGTTCTTCCCTCGATGAAGAGGGATATGCTATGATGTCTTAACAAGTAAACCCCCAAATAAAAAAGATTCATTTCTCACATAAAACCCGATGTGGGTCAGTCTGGCTACTCCATCCTCATTACTTAGAACATGTTGCCTCCAAGGTGATCATGGAAGAGAAAGCTGCAGGATCTTGTGGAATGTCCACATCTCATAAGCCAGAACCCACCAACAAGAGGCTAGGAAAGTAAACAAGCACCTCAATATTTGGTTAACATCAATAGCTGTTGGTTACATTTTGCATATTACTGTTAGGCTATTCTTTCCAAATGACCCTTCTGCTCATCTTTGTTTTACTCAGGATGCAAAATTGCTCCTCAATTAATTCAAGTGTTCTTGAATATAAAGGTTTGGCTTGATGAACTTTTAAGTCTTGATTCTCCAAACTCTTCTATTCCTTGGGCCTAGCCCAATATTTGTATTTTATCAAAGGTTAGGCATCAGGCAACTTTGACTCTAGGCATTTGCTTAAGGTAAAACTGGAGAGGACCTCCCAAACTACTAATGTCTGTCTTGGTCTTGGCTCACCTTTCTTCAAGCAGATGAGTGGCAAGAAGACTTCATGTGTGGACTTTTGAAACAACTTGAAAAACACTACAGAATACAGAATCTACTGAAGTGGATATCTGATAATATTTAATAATGTTACATAGAAAATAAAAGGGACTATGATGATAACCTTTTGGCTGGTGACTATCTCTGAAAGTTCTGAATCTTTCACTTACTGCCTTGTTAAATGTAAATTGAGGATCAAATATTTCCCTAAGATATTCTGGCAATGTCAGCAAGATGAGACTAGAATTCAGAATTTTAACATATTTTTGAATAGAGTTAAATAAAATGGAGTGGGCACATAAATTTAATAGTTGTTTCCTTTTCAAATTTGGTATCCTGAAGAGGATTTTTTTGTTGTTGGTTCTATAACCCTTCCTCTTAACATTTTTTTAAATTGATATTTAGAGGGGAAGGTAAAGAGAGAGGAAGAAACATCGATGTGAGAGCAAAACATGCATTGACTGCCTCCTGCATGCCCCCTACCGCGGATTGAGCCTGAAACCAGGACACATGCCCTGACTGGGGAATAGAACCGGCAAGGTGCACAGGATGATGCCCAACCAACTGAACCTCACCGGCAAGGGCTGCAGATGTTTTAAAATGTGAAATACTGTTACATCTGCTAAAAGTTCTAAAGGGCCATTTTACCTTTTAATTGGTATCTCACAACAGGACATGCAGTAGTAGAGGCCTTAAATGTTGAGGTTTTAGCTTCACCTAATGGCCATTAGTAAGATCCAATCTTGGAATTAGAAACTGGTCAAATTGGAAGTATGCCAGCATTCTTTAGACAAAAGGTGGAAGACTTGGTAGTGTTTGTAGTGGTTTAGTCTAAGACTTTGAAATTAGTTTCAAGGAAATGAAATAATCTCTGTTGCTTAAATAAGCCCTGTCTAAATTTTAAGATAACTGAATACTTACCACACTAGTTAACAGAAGCACTCCACGAATCAACTCTTCAAAGGAAAGGCTCTGCAATGCTAGGGAACTTTAAAATGAAGAGAGTATGGTAGGTAGAGAAAATATGAGCACTGAATAAATACCTGTCTAGTCATGAGAACTTGAGTCCCAAATCGAATGTACTTTCTAGAACTAGAAACCGGTAGGAAAATAAACATCAAGCTAATACTGATTTAGGACTGCAAATATCTTCCACTGTTGTGCTAATGGCTTTTAGTCCACTCTACATGGAGTTTCAAGGAACTCTGATTTGGGTTATATGCTCTCGTTCTCCACTTCAGCTCCTCAAGACCCTTAGATTCTCTGACCTTTGGCTCTTCTGCCCTCTAACCTTACCTCTGGTGGACCAACCTGTCACCCGACTGTTTTTGTTTCTAGGGTGGTGGTTGTTTTTATCTGTTTTAATCTGATTGATGACTAAGATTCCTTAGCCTGGCCCTGATATCCCACTGATACCACGGACATGCTGCCTTCCCTTTCTCATCACATTTTCACTCATAGCTGCTAAAGGTAAAAATATTCATATGAAAAAGTTCAAAGTCCAGTTGTCAACAGTCAGCTGCAGCCTTAAGTAGGCTACAATGACCCAGGAGATGGGGCTATGTCTAATCTCAAATACCACCAAGTCAAAGTCAACTCCAGACATAGCTCATCCATGAGTGGTCATCCTTCAGTACAAAAGCAGCGGACATGAGAATGTAACTGAAAGCCAGGCCACCAAGTCCTACTAGACGGTGTCCTTCTTGCCCTCAACATCAGTATCTGTGAAACTAAATGCAGACTCCTACTCACATCTACACTGTAGAAACAGGTTGGTTTCCTCACACCTGCATCTCTGAGAATTCCTGCTTAGAAATAAAGCAGTTATTCCAGAGAGAGCTGAGAGAGCGTGAGTGCCAAGGATGGGGTCCTCATGTCTATGTGTTTTTTTAAAAAGCACAATTACTTGCCCAGCCTACATGGCTCAGCTGTTGAGCATCAACCTATGATCCAGGAGACTGCAGTTCAATTCCAGTCAGGGCACATGCCTGGGCTGTGTGCTCTGTCCCCAGTAGACAGCATGCAGGAGGCAGCAAATCATTGACTCTCTCATCATTGATGTTTCTCTCTCTCTCTCCCCCCTTCCTCTTTCTGAAATCAATACTTTTTTTTTTAAAGCACAATTAATGTTTTTTGTGCCATATTGGCATTCCAGTGGATGAAGGATGGAGAATTAAAATGGCATTTTCTCCTTTCATCTTAATAAGCAGGAACCTGGGACTTCAGGAGGACAAATGGACTGATGGTGAAGCCCAGTAGCAGAGGCCACAAAAATCAGTCTCCAAGGTCAAAGATCTTGCCCCTGGTATAGTGCCCAGCCTGTTGAACATGCCAGAGGTACTGTGTAAGGATGCAGATTTCTTTACATCATACATGTGTATGAAACCTGTGCAAAGTCTGCAGAAGAGGCACATGACCAAATATCCTAGGGTCAGCTGTTCAACATATTGAACCATTTTATAGAACCTCACGATAAAGCAACTCGTGATAACTAGTGTCCCTCATGGGCACTGGGTGATGCTTCCTGCCGTGAGGCTGTTGACTGCCTAACAAGCAGTCACCACTCTTCTCCTTTAGTAGGGAATCTGGGTCCATTCTAAGTAGCAGGGTGCCAAATATTTCTCAGCTTCCCTTACAGGGAGGCATTAGGCCAGTGACATGCTGCTATATCAAATATCAGTCCAATGTTATATTGATATATTAAATATCAAGGCAATGATATATTGATACATTTGGGATCTGTTGGACAGGACTTCCAGAAAGGCACCTTAGAAGACAGAGGAACAGCTAAAAAACTCCCTTTTGCTTTTGTCCTTCCCTTCTTTCTACCTGGAATGCAGATTTAATGGTTGAAGACATAAATTGGCAGTTGAACACATTTGGATGGTACAGGTTTCCCCTGCTATCTGTTGAGCCCTGGGACATTCCAACATTTAGTTGGTTCCCAAATGAGCAGCTCTTGCATCACTTGGGAACTTCTTAGAAGTGCAAACCCTCAGGCTTTATCCCATCCTGACAGGGGTGTTTTCAGCAGTACTCACTAAGCCCTCCAGGTGATTCTGATCATGCAACAGTTTGAAAACCACTGGTTTAGGGGCTGGGAAGAGGAGGAACTTATTTAAGGAGACTGAAGAGTGACCAGTCGAGGAGGGAATAATCAATTTTATCAACTACTGTTGATAAAGGGACTGAGAACTGACCATTGATTTGGTAACAAAAGATAGGGGAGCCTGACCTGTGTGGCTCAGCGGTTGAGCATCAACCTATGATCCAGATCACAGGTGATTTCTGGTCAGGGCACGTCCACCGGTTGCTGGCTCGATCCCCAGCAGGGGGGCGTGCAGGAGGCAGCAGATCAATGACTCTCATTGATGTTTCTCTCTCCCTCTCTCCCTTCCTCTCTCTCTGGAATCAATAAAAATATACTTTTAAAAAGGAGGCGGATTTCTGTATTGGGGATATTTAATAAAAATTAGAGTATTTCCTGGTGTTCCAGATATGTCAGCTGGTGGGGCCTTTCATACACACCATTTTTGGAAAGAAACTGCCCATTTCTGCTGATGGAAGCTGGGGAGGGGGGCAACTCTCTTCAGCGGTTCTTTGAGCTGGCAGGGCTATATTTTCCACGATCCCTCTCCTCCAGGCCTAGGTGATTAGGCCAAAAGCAGCCAACCTAGAGACCAGTTAGCTAAGTGTGGTTATCTGTGTAGCAGAAACCAAATATAATAGGGGTTTACACAAAATACCAGTTTATACCTATCTCATGTTAAAAAGCCTAAGATCTGTTCCACCAAACTGCCAGGGGCACTTCTGTTTTGTTGGTCCGCCATTCTTAGGGTATTAACCTTGTCCACATGCTCCATGACAGACGACTTGTCCTCGTCCCAGCCAGCATGGGGCTTTCCTCTTCACTGTAATAATCACTTTTCCTTTCACCCCTCTGGCAAGAGGCAGGAGTGATGAGAAAGGTAATCTTTATTCTGGGAAGCCTAAGGCCTAGCAAAAC